AGACTGTCGCGAGTTTTTGTTCGTGTGGCGAATCATGCGTTGAGGGAGTTTATGCAGCTCTAGATGTTTTGGATACCCGAGCTGTCTACGTTGAGGAACGGGTCGTAACGCTGCCGGCGGCACGGGAGCGATTTTTTCTCGTAGCTTCCAAAATTTTCGCTCTCGTAATTGTTGTTACCAGAGCGCTTTGAAAGCTGACGGGAGCGAAATCGCTCGCCGCTCCCGTGTATTTTTTTCGCTGTTGTCACTGCCATCGTACTCATCATCATCACGCTCATTCATAATCAGAAAGCTCATTTCGACTTCGAACAGTAACTTAGCCAACACGTTCAAGGCCACGTTGAAAACCAGAACTGGAAACCGGAAGTGGTTCCGACTTCTAGCGGAGACAAACACGCATGGTGTTGACTAATTACTTCCCCTACTTAAGATCGGGAATATGATGCCATATCGGTAAATATCGGTAAATTTTCATACAAAATATCGGGAATTTCGGTAAATTCTCAGACTGATCATCACATAAAGAAGCTGAAATATCATTAATAGATCATTTACACCATTTTTTTTCCACTGGCCTATCGGGCTTGTTCATTTACCAGTTTCATTGGCCCCCCGGAAAATTTACTGGCCTCGGATACGGGGCCAGTGGTTAATTTCGCAGACTGCAATGGGAACTAACCTGGTCAACTAATATGTTTTACTATTTACAATATTTTGGGATATGATCTGTGAATTGATGCTTGAATAAATTTCCCAAAATATCAACACAAAAATCATTCATATAAAAAAATTCAAAAAATCATACCTCTCCAAGGCAGGCTGGCTGGGTGCGGATTCTGCCTCAGCAGATGGAGCCACCTGTCCGTACATCGGGTACGTCTGCTGCTGCTGCAGCTTTGGTCGCTCGGCAACGCCAAATCGTGCAAATTTAGGTGTCGGCAGCTCCACTCCTGCGCAGAGATCACAAGGACATGATGAGTATGCAAACGACAGAATAGGGAGTACTAGAAGGAGCTGGCCCATCTCTCTACCAGTGACCGACCACATAAGCAATATGCTGTTTATATCATCTATCTATCAACATCATCTAGCCTGTCAACATTCCCATTGGCATGTTATGAGTACATATGCTATATGTATGAGCACATCTGCCTTGTATATAACTATGTATGCTTTGAGTAGGAGCATGTATGCACTGCATGAGAATATGGGTATATATATATATGTATATACAGGGGTCGAAATTAGATTTTTATTATGGTATCCATTCGGGATACCAGGTATTGAAATCTGGTATCCCCCCAAAAGATCTGGTATCCCGGATTTTTTTGGATAGTAATTTCAACAATGTTGGTATCCAAAATCTTGAAATATGCAATAATAGCATTTGAAAATTATTAATATGTAATGTAATTATTATATAAAAATCTCGCTCCCGCGTCTAATCATTAGTGGGCTGAGTGCATTCGCGAGCATTTCATTTTACCATAGATATATACAACACAGGTGTTATGTATATATATCTATGATTTTACATACGCCTCCACAGTACACTGCAGACGTATTGTCTAGACGCATTGTCTGGTTCGCTTGATACAATCATGATACAATGTATACACATGTTCACAATTATGATCAACATCGGCCACGCTTGCGCTTGCAA